TCAGGCTGGGCTTGGACTCATGATGTAGCCTAGGCTGCTCTAAAACTCAAAATGATCCTCCTGCCTCAGCCTCCTAACTGCTGGGATTATAGACATGCACCATGAGGCCCAGCCCACAAAGTTCTAGCATTTAACTCAGTATGTAGTAAGAATATTTTTCTAAAAAGTATCTTCTGGGCTGGTGAGATAGCTCAGCAGTCTAAAGCCCCTGCTTAGGCAAGCTTAGGCAAGTGCAGGGCTGGTGGTTCCATTCCCAGCACCACATGCCACACTGGCCCCACCCCCAGGGCTGGCTGAGCTGGCCACACACACAAAAAAGTATTTTCTACATACTATTATCATACAATTGAAAATTAGAGTTGGAAGCATACCATTTACATATCCCATAGAATATTTATGAATAAACTAGCAAAAGCTACGCATAACCTATTCGCAGAAAGTTATGTAAACTTTCTCTTAAAAGCCCAGATGATAAGCATAGTAGTTTTTTCAGTCATCTTTGAGCCTTTCATATATTCTTCTAAATTTTTTTTTAATCTACCCTCCTACAAGTGTTACAGTGCTATAATTAATCACTGGCCTTAGAAACAAAGATCAGGATCCACGTGTGGTAGCACACTTCTATCATCCCTGCATTGGGGAAGCTGAGGCAGGAAGATTGCCGTAAGTTTAAGGCCAGCCTGGGCTACATAGTTCAAGGACAGCCTGAACTACAGAGCAAGACACTGTCTCAAAAAAGGCCAGCGACTTAGCTCAGTAGCATAAGTGCCTTCCTGGCAAGCTCAAGGTCCTTCCTGAGTTCCATTCCTGACACCAAAAAAGCAAAAACAAAGGGCTGGCCTGATAGCTCAGCGGACTAACACGCCTGCTTCAGCAGCTTGCAGCGGCCAGGGTTCGATCCCAGCATGCCGCGCCCTGCTCCAGGGCATACTGAGACAGTGACTGAGACTGGGAGTGGTGGCACGCACCTGTAATCCCAGCACTTGGGAGGATGAAATCAGGAGAATCACTGAGTCCACTCTACATCGTGAGACCCTGTAGACCCTGTCCTAAATACAGAAAAAGAAAAAAATCAAAAATTAAAGGAATTTTGGTCTAACCAAAGCCCCATTGAGGCCAGTGGTCAGTATTTGAGTCAAACCAAAAAAGAAAGATCTTCTAGTAGGCAGTCAAGTGTTGGTTACAGGCGCATTGAGCTAAGAACAATGAAAACCTACAGTAATGCTATGTGCCTCTGTAGGATCAGACGCCCTGGCTCGAATGCTGGCAAGACGGCTGCCACCAGTGTGATCTGAGGAAAGCAAGCGCTATTGTGCCGAGCGTCTTAAAGTAGTAAGCCCAAAACAAAACAAAAAATACCGTTTGCCTGGGAGGGCTGGTGTGGGTGCACTGTGACACTCCGGGCAGGTCCCAGCTTGTCATGCTCTCCAGGGTGGCCTCAGAAAAGGCACCTAAGTCTGGAACCTGGAGAGATTACTGACATGTCAGGAGAGGCGGGTCCTGAGCGCTGAGCTATCTGCAGGTGTGTGTGGGGCGGGCGGGAGCTGATGTTATCAGTGGCAACCACCCAAAAAGGCCTCGTGATACTCTCCTCCTGTGAGGCGCCTCCTCTTGCCCTTGCACTCCTGGCCTCCTTGGGTGTGTTAGTCACCCCAGCCTGCCCTTTCCCCACGCCTGTCTACCATCGCTGGTTCACACAGAGAGCCTAATCCCTATCGCAGAAGGACCTGGTCTGCTCCCGTGCCATGGATCTGAGGTTCTATCTAGGTAACTACAGATTAAAAGTTCAAAAGACCAGCGAGTCCTGGTCTCAACAACAACAAAAAAATGTTTAAAGGGGCTGAAGCTGTAGTTCAGTGTGATGGCCTGGGTTCAACTCCTAGTATCATATACAACAAAAAAAAAAAAAAAAAAAAAAGTATTGAAACATTATACCTATGGTCTACACCAGGATTTCTTTTTCTTTTTCTATATTTAGGACGGGGTCTACAGGGCCTACAGGGCTTTACTACGTAGATCAGACTCTTAATGATCCTCCTGTTTTTAGCCTGCCAAGCACTGGGATGACAGGTGCGCACCACCATACTCGGTCTCAATCACTGTCTCAATGTGCCCCCCCCCCCCACGGAGCTGGCAGGGCGTGCCAGGGATCCAATCCCAGCCCCAGCGTTCTAACTAAGCAAGTGCTTTAGTCCCCTGAGCTATCAGGCTGGCCCTTAGACTGAGGTTTCTCAAATTTCAGGCTGAAAACTCTATGAGTCTGATCTATGTAGTGAGACCCTGTGGACCCTGAACTAAATACATTAAAAAAAAAAAAAGTAGGGATGGACAATTTGAGAAATAAGAAACCTTTTCCACAAATTCCTTTGTGAGAAATAATAAATAATGTTTTGGGCTTTTTTGTGTCCAGGGTCTCCCTACATAGCCCACATTAGCAGTGATCCTCCTGATTTCTGCCTCCCAAGTGCTGGGATTACAGGCACACACGCCTGGAGGCATGCGGAGCCAGGGATTGAACCCTGGCCCCTGCATTTACCTAAGCAAATGCTTAGTCTCTGAGCTATACCACTGGCCCAATAATGGTGATATTTTCTTTTTTTCTTTCTTTCTTTCTTTCTTTCTTTCTTTCTTTCTTTCTTCTTTCTTTCTTTCCGTCTTTCCTTTCTTTCTTTTGCTTGCTGATGTTTTCTTAATACTGTGATATCCATGTATATGTCCTATAGTTATCTCAAGCTCAAAAATTTATTTTATTTTTTTTTTCTAGTACTAGGAATTGAACTCAGGGCCTCACATTTGCCTGGGAAGTGCTGCTGAACTACATTCCTTGCCCAAAAAATGTAAACTAAGCTAATTTTCTATCCACAAGATTGTCAAGCCTGTTCTCTTAGTTCTTTCCCATGCCTTCATTACAGACATCATCATTTGGGCTGGAACCATCCCTTTGTACCAATAAATCCACTCTTCACCTGCTCTATGCTCCAGGTATAATATTATATATTATATAGAGTTATATAATTATAGAGTTATAATATATATTATAACTATAATTATTTGCCATATCATTACTTACATAAGTTTAATGAAAATCTGTTATTACTGTAACAGGACATAATTGGGAATATTGATTATATTCAGGTTTGGACTGAACTTTTTTTTTGTCTTTTGAAACCAGGTTTCACTATGCAGTTCAGGCTGGATTTGAACCTACTTTGTAGCCCAGGCTGGCCTTGAACTCATGGCATCCCTCCTGCCTCAGCCTCTTGAGTGCTGGGGTTACAGGTATATGCTACCACATCCAGCTCTGAAACATCATTTTTGAGAATGATACATAAAACCAGATAACAGCAAGAATGTAATTAATGTTGTAATGAATTCCTGGAGGCTTATGAGCTGAAGCTGGATAACACCATGAACTTCAGAGAAATCACAAGAGATTGCGCTGGGCCAGCCAGATAGCTCAGCAGATTAAAGCGCCTGCTTAGGCAGATGCAAGGACCAGGGTTTGATCCCTGGCTTGCCGTGCCACCCCCCTCCCCCTGTGTGTGCTGAGATGGGGATTGAGACTGGGTGTGGTGGCACATGCTTGTAATCCCAGCACTTGAGAGGTTGAAAATACTGAGTCTGATCTGTGTGGTGAGACCCTGTGGACCCTGTACTAAATACATTAAAAAAAAAAAAAAAAGTAGGGATGGACAAAAGCTCTTCTTCAGTAAATTTTAGTTGGGCACCTCTAAGCAGTGAGTACTTCAGCTGTGGTATGCCTCCTTGTTTGGCCTGTGTTGCCTAGGTAAAGATGGAGCAAGGTTCACAACTTTGGTTTAGCCATATTCCTCTACTTTATACTTCTGGTCACCCTGAATTTGTGAGTACTTAAGTTCCTCACCCCACACCATTCAAGTGATATCTGATCACCCTGGCCTGCTTTCAGCAGGAATTGTTCTTCAGCAAGATGATTCTTTTTTTTTTTTTGTATTTAGGATAGGGTCTACAGGGTCTTACTATGTAGATCGGACTCATAGTGCTTCTCCTGTGTTCAGCCTCCCAAGTGCTGGGATTACAGACATGCGCCACTACACCCAGTCTCAATCACCGTCTCAGCGCATCTCACAGGCGGGACCATCATGGCATGCCGGGGATTGAATTCTGGCTGCTGCGCTTTAATCCGCTGAGCTATCTGGCCAGCCCAGCAAGATGATTCTTGGTATTTTCTCTTAGTTGTTTTCCATCCACTGACCCTTGTTTCACTCCTTTTCTATCATTTCAAATCTATATTTGTTGTGTTCAGATTTTTTGGTGTGTTTTGAGACAAACAACTCAGTATGTCATTCAGGCTGGCTCGAAGTGCTCCTTTTGCATCAACCCCATGAGTGCCAGGATTATAGGTGTGTGCCACCATCTCTGGCTTTGTGTTCAGATTTGAGCCCAGTTCTGTGTGAAATCTGTCTTCTTCTACTGCAATAGTTTATGGATAAAATTTGCTTTTACTATATTAAATATAGTCTGGTTCTTTTTTTTTTTCTTTTCTTTAAAATGTGTAAGAACATCAGGTAACCTGAAATATAGAGTGAGACTCTGTCTCAAAAAAGAAACAAAACAAAGAGTGAGATCAGTAGGTGTAGGGCACAGCCTGTAGTTCCAGTACTCTGGGCGGTTGAGGCAGGATTACAAATTCAAATTTAAACTCAATCTGGAGAATTAAACAAGGCCCTGTCTCAGATAAAAAATAAAGTCCTGGGAGGTAGCTCAGGGTGAAGGCCTTTTTTCAGTTTGCAGGCCTGAGAAACAAAATAAAACAAAAAAGACTGTTCAGTGTCTGGAGTTTCGCGTCCATCTTTCTCAAGGCCCCTCTGGATCTCTTTGCTAGTACTTGGTAGTCCACAAGGCGCCTGTCCCTCGGAGACTACATTACCCAGAAGGTCCCGCGTCACGCCCCTGCCAAGTTTGACCAATGAAAGGGCGTTTCCGTGCGACCGACGGGCGTCTAGGCGGGACTTCCGGCGCACACCTGGCGGCGGTCATCTTGGTCTCTGCTGTCTGTCTGCAGCAAGCGATTTTTCAGCGGTTAGAGGAGCGCGATTTCGAGTGATCGGGAAGACTGCAGAGCCAGTATTGTCCCCGCGGACGGAGTCGGTTCTGAGGGTGACCGAGGGCGCTGCTTTGTGACAGCAGTTACGGCGGCCGAGTCCGTCTCTTCTGGCTTTACCCCACCTACAGGCTTTGATGGTGACGCTTGCCCGGAACGACCCGGTTCAGGTTAGTGCGGCGTCCCCTACTCGGTCCAGACTCTCACCTCCCAACCCTGAAGACCCCAGCGGCCGGGCACGCGCTCGTTTCTCCTTCAGTCAGGAAGTGGGCGCCCCTGGTTGCGTTCCACGTTTCTGTCGCTCCGCAGCTGGAGAGTGGAAAGGGCCGCGACGTGAGGCGGCCGGAGTTGGGGTCGGGGGGCGCTGGAGGGGATTTGAGGCCAGTCTCCTGTCTTTAGGAAAGAGATTGCTAGGGGATGAGTCACACGTGGCCTGGCCGGGTGAGCGGGCGGGGGAGGGGGGCGCGGAGATGAGTCACGCGTGGCTTGGCAGCCGGAGCGGAGGATGAGTCACACGTGGCGCGGCTGCTGCCTGTGCGGTTAGGCCCACGTTCTGAGGACGCGGTGGTGGGTTATCCGGGGGGATCCGAGCCGAGATTCGCCCTGAGTTGAGACTGTACAAGGTTTATATAGGCTACCAAGGACAGGGGGGAGAAGAGATGGGGTGAAAGTTAGAGGGACCTTGAGGAGGTTACCTCCACAGACCTCTGGAGAATTGCTGAGAGGTAGCGAGACCCATAGTGTCACTGGCGGCTGCGTGTCCTTCCTTCACTGATGATGGAAGTTTTAAAAACTGAAGCAGGAATGTGGGGAGGAGGGAGGTTTAATTGGACAGGAAGAGAAAGGTAAGGGACCTAGTTATTAAGCTGGAGGAACTGAGAAAGTTCCTTCATGCTGGTCTCGTGATGAAAAGTAAGAGGTTAGGCAAAGGCTGCAGTTTGAGAAACTGGTCGTGGTACGAATCTGAAGAGGTGGCTCAAATTGGCACGCTGAAAAAACAAAAAATCAGGGAAGATTTTAAAGGTTTTCTGGAGTGGACTACAGGCTGGTTGATCATGAGCTCAGTTCTGCCTTGGCGACACAGCCCCGGGAGAAGTCCTGCTTGAGGAGCCGTTTAAATTTTCTTTAGATGATTATTTTTGCTTGGGACAGTCTCATCCATGAGATGCCACAGTGACACTCAATTTAGATCGCCTTGGAAACTCGTTGATGATGGACTTCTGGGCATAGTTGAATGACCTTGTAAATCCCTTATCTTGATATCCTCAGTCTTTGTTTTGTTTTTGTCGTTTTGAGACAGGCCTTCACTATGTAGTCCAGGGTGGCCTCAGACTTGCATGGACACTCCTGCCTCAGCCTTCTGAGTATGAGGATCACAGGTGTGTCCCACCCGGAGCAGCTGATATCCTCAGTCTTTTCTTTCTTTATTTATTTAATTCTCAGTCTTGAAATGAGATGACTCTATGTAAATTGAGGACCAATTCACTTATTTTTCCAACCTTTTGACTGCTACTAAATAATTAACATAACTATACAGAGCTGAAAAGGGACTTAACTCAGACTTAAGCGCTAACAAAGGGTACAAAAAAAGGTTAAGTTTTCCTTCTGCTTTTAGTTACCTATTGTGCTTTTGTAGACCCAAAGAGTCAATGTTTAGGGTTTATTTTATTTTATTTTATTTTTGCAAAAAACCTTTCATCCTCCCTCTTTTTTTTTTTGTTGGTGGGTTGGAGCAGGGTCTTGCTCTATCGCCCAGGATGGCCTCAATCTTACATAGATCCTCCTGTCTCAGCATCCCGACTACTGGGGTTAATGGTGAGTGCCACCACGCCCGGGCAACCTTTGCCCTTTTAAGTCACTGACTGCTTTAGAAGAAAGTATAAAGCGTGCAGTTACTGCACAAGGGGGTCCCCAAAGAAGAGATGAGGAACTTCAGTTCACCTCACCTACAGGATAGGTTGTAGATTCCCTTATTTACCTCATAGAAAAAGGATTTCCAAGACATGTCTGTGAGAGGTATACAGGCAGAATTAAACAGGAACCCAGTCAGAATACAGTGTGGGTCCTTAAGAGAGATACATACTGGGTAAGGGTAAGGGCTTTTATGTGAACTTTGGGATGTCCTTAAGTGGGTGATCTGCGATGTACCTACCATATAGCCTACTCAAGGGGCAGGCTATATTAGAACACAAATCTCCTGTGTTTGAAATTGACCCATGTCCATTTTCTGTGGTTAGAAGTGTAATACAGAGATGAAAACCACAAGCCCTGGCTTAATGTGTCCTTAAGACCCTTAGGAAAAAGTGTATTTGTGTGTGTGTGTGAGGGGGTGGGTATTGAGTTTCCTGGAAAGGAAAAAGGCCTGTGGAACTTTTGTGTCCCGAAGCTGCAGTTTTTCTTAACAGTTTTGTTTGAGACAGGGTCTAGTTATGAAGTTTAGGCTAGCCTTGAACTCACTGTTGCCAAACCTGGCCTAAAATTGGGGGGATCCGCCTGCCTCTGGCTCCCAAGAGCTGGGATTACAGGTGTGTGCCATCTGTCTGGCTTTAATAGTTTTAGCGTTACAATTTTCATTGTCTCCTTTTCACATGTGTTTACTTATTTATTCATTACTGAATATTGAACCCCGGGCCTTCGCACTAAGGAATCCCCAAAGCATTGTATTACCAAGGCTGGACTTGAATTTGGGATTCTCTTACTTCAGTGTTTCAATGCAGAGATTATAGGAATGCACCACCATGCCTGGTATTGGTATTTTGTTGGCAGACCTGTACAAAAAGCCAAATGTTCACTCAATGGATGTATGTGTTCCTTGGCAGGGACACGTAGCAGTATGCTGAAGGCTGAAGATAGGCTGAAGGACACATTTTTGGCAAAACTAGAGGTGGCTGGAGACTGTCTGTAACTGCTGGTGCAGTATTCAAAGCTCCTTTTTGTATCCAGATTGTGTTTTTATGTTAATTGTTCCCTTTTTTCTTTTCTTACTTTTTTTTTTTTTTTTTTTTTTTTGAGATAGGGTCTTGCTATGAGGTTCAGACTGGCTCGGACTCACTATATAGCCCAGAACTTGTGTTGATCCTCCTGCCTCAGGCTCTCAAATGCTGGGATTACAGGCATTTGCATTATACCTGGTTGTGTTTTTATATTACTATTAATTGTTTTACCTTTTAGTCACACTTTTTGCTGGGTATTTATGATCAAGACACAATAAGCCAGGGGCCGGGGAGATAGCTCAGTGGAATAAGCGCTTCCCTGGTAAGTGCAAGGGCCTGAGTTCAATCCCCGGTTCTGGGAAGAAAAAAAGAAAAAAAAAAAAAGACACAATAAGCCAGGGCTTGTGGTTTTCACCTGTATATTACACTACTTCTCATGGAAAATGGGCATAGCTCAAACGCAAGACCTGTGTTACTTGAGCATGGTAGCTTTGTTCAGAAAGCTGTGTTTTCCAAGAGTACTTGTTAAGGTGTTTTTTTTTTTTTTAAAAAAAACACTAATTTTGAAACGAAATTTAGAACCTTTTAATAAATCCACATAAGGCAATAATAGCATTGACAAAAGTCGAAGGATAGGTTTAGACCCTCCTAGTTTAGGAAAGTGTTCGTGACCATAGATAGACTTGCCCAAAATACAAGTGTATCTCATTTATACACTTAAAAAAATGTTTGTTTAGTCAGAGCCAATAGATGTAGGTCAAGTTTTGTTTTTGTTTTTGTGTACTGGGGATTGAACTGAGGGCCTTTGCACTGAGCTACATCTGCAGGCATTTTCTTATTTTTATTTTGACACCAGATCTCACTTAGTGGCCCTAGTTGGCCTGGAACTTGTGCTCCTCTGGCCTTAGTTTCTCAGTGTGCTCCAACCTTAGGTAGATTGCGTTTTTAAATGGCAGGGCTGAATTGTATTTAATACAAAGTAGAGATGTAAAAAAGTTTTGGCTATTTTACATATATTTAATGGTTAGGTGTTGTGTTTATTATATCAAAGAGAGCACATATTAGTTGCTTTGTGTTAAACTTATATATATTTAAGTTTATAAACTGTACATTTTGACAGAACTTAGTCTTCAGGTGTATGTAATTAAAACTTTATGGGCC